CCCTTACAGCATACACAAAAATAAACTCAAAATGGATCAAAGATTTAAACATAAGACAAGATACAATAAACCTCCTAGAAGAAAACATGGGCAAAACATTATCTCACATATATCTCAAAAATGTTCTCTTAGGGCAGTTTACCCAAGCAATAGAAATAAAAGCAAGAATAAACAAATGGGACCTAATTAAACTTACAAGCTTCTGCACAGCAAAGGAAACCATAAACAGAACAAAATAACAAACTACAGAATGGGAGAAAATTTTTGCAAAAGATAAAACTGACAAAGGCTTGATCTCCAGAATATATAAGCAGCTTATATGACTTAATAAGAAAAAAACAAACAACCCAATCCAAAAATGGGCAGAAGACCTAAACAAACAATTTTCCAAGGAAGAAATACGAATGACCCATAGGCACATGAAAAAGTGCTCAATATCACTAATTATCAGAGAAATGCAAATCAAAACTACAATGAGGTATCACCTCACACCAGGCATAATGGCCGTCATTCAAAAGTCCACAAATGACAAATGCTGGAGAGGCTGTGGAGAAAAGGAAACCCTCCTACACTGCTGGTGGGAATGCAGTTTGGTGCAGCCACTGTTGAAAACAGTATGGAGATTCCTCAAAAGACTAGGAATAGACTTACCGTATGACCCGGGAATCCTGCTCCTGGGCATATATCCAGAAGGAACCCTACTTCAAAAAGACACCTGCACCCCAATGTTCATAGCAGCACTATTTACAATAGCCAAGACAAGGAAACAACTGAAATGTCCATCAACAAATGACTGGATAAAGAAGAGGTGGTATATTTATACAATGGAATAGTATTCAGCTATAAAAACTGACAACATAATGCCATTTGCAGCCACAAGGATGTCCCTGGGGAATGTCATTCTAAGTGAAGTAAGCCAGAAAGAGAAAGAAAAATACCACATGAGATTGCTCATATGTGGAATCTAAAAATAAAGAACATAAATACAAAACAGAAACAGAATCACAGACATAGAATACAAACTTGTGGTTGCCAACGGGGAGGTGGGTGGAAAGGGACAGACTGGGAGTTCAAAATTTGTAGATACTGACAGGCATATGCAGAATAGATAAACAAGATTATACTGTATAGCACAGGGAAATACATACAAGATCTTGTGATAGTTCAGTGAAAAAAAATGTGACAATGAATATATGTATGTTCATGTATAACTGAAAAATTGTGCTCCACACTGGAAATAGATACAACATTGTAAACTGACTATAACTCAATAAAAAGTATTAAAAAAAACCCACAATGAGATACTACTACATACCCTTTGGGATCACTAACATTAAAAGAGACACTAAATTTTTAAAATAAATAATTACTAAAGAATTGCAATACACCTTATGAAAAACATAACATTAAAATCAACTTAAATGTGTTCTTCTACTTAGAATAGTCTGAGTGTGTGAGCCAGTCAATAATGAAATGTTGATTTTGTTTTTGAACTTTACAGCCTTTGTCTCCAAGCCCAAAGGAGATCTCGCTTCTGTTTCTCTTCCTTTGATAAACTCCCTCTTTAAAAATCTTGGTTTATTATTCTTCTTCTTTATTCTCCAGTTTTAATACTCCTGTCTCTCTTAGACCCGTTTAATGCACAGACTCAGTACAGACACTGTGGCAGACCCCACCTGCACCCCCACCGCCAACAGGCCACACAAGGAACCAGTCTGGGCAAAGACTCAACACACTTGCTCCACACATCCCTGCTGGCCAGTGGGGAATCAGAATTCACCACCACTAAGAAGAAGCTGTGCTAAGCCACACTATGTGGATCTGTCCCAAGTTACAGCAGCGGACTGCAAGCCACACCTTGGTGGCCAGCCTCGTTTTGGGGCTCACACCAGCGAACACAGTTTGTCTCTAACCCATCTTTTGAGTGTTGTCTCCACCCCCCCATCCCAAAGGATACTATGCTTAAGCAGTACACCACCTCTACCCTCCTCCAAAACTGCTGAGCTCTCTCACCCCTCTGTGCCTTGGTCCTGGCTATCCCTCTGCCTAAAACAGTCAGCTGTCTTCATCTGTCAGCTCCATCCCCCAGGACCTGGGCCAGCGTTCTCTGCTGTGAAGCTTTCTCAGCTCCTTCAGGCTCAGTCACTGCCCCTTCCTCTGTGCTCCCCCCCGCCCCCACGCCTTCTGTTATGCTGACCCTCACCACTGAGTTTGCCCCAATCCCATGTCTCACGCACGACTTCCTGACTGTCTGTTGTTCCCGCGTAGGGGCAGCTTCTCACTCATCTTTCTGTGCCTTTGGCCCAGTTCAGTACCTGTCACACAGCAGCTGCTCATTAAATAGGTCTGGAATTAATGAGTGAATAAATTACTAAATGAATGGGTGGGTGGTTAAATGAATTCACAAAGGAATTCAGTGCTTCTAGGTCCCAGGTTATTTCTCATTTCACTCTATCTGCCTTTGCTTGCATACTAATGGTTTTAGAAACCGACGAACAGTTTTTGCTTAAGTATATGATGTCTCTCAAGTGAGTTTAGAAGCTCCTAAAGGGCATGTGCATCCTCTCACTGTGCATTTCACTTCCTCAGAGCCAGACAAGTCAGGGTGTAGTAAACTTCTGAATGCTCTCTTTTGTAATATACTTGCATGACAGGAATTCTCTTCACTTGTTTTGAGGGAGGTTCCTGCGAAGGTTTTATTTCAAAGGAAGTGTTGCAATAAGATATTATCCTAGCACATCATGAAAAAGAAACAGCCTCTTGATTCATTTTCCTGCTGACAGTAGAAGAGAAAACATTCAAGGTTTCATCTCTTTAGATGTTTGAATAAGAGTTTGTACTTTAGTGTTCAGAACCTTGAAAAGAGGTATTATTTGCTTGTGTAAACATGAAAATACGGGCTCAGTGGAAACACTATTTTCAGTCTCTTTCATGTCCTTGTAAAACTTTCAGAAATACTTTTTAAAGGAATACACGTACTACACCAAGCTTGAATTCATTCTAGTAAGTGTTTAGAAAGTATTCAACCAAAGAAATAGCTCCTGAGTATGAAACTTTCATTCTTGGTAACTGACTAAAGAGACAAAATGTGGCAAGAATATGAAGCCAAGACTAAGCTCCTCCACAAACATGAGAATAAATAGGTCCACGATAGACAGGCTGAGCATCACACACCTTATCCTCTGACTCCAGACAGTGATTCTCAACCAAGAGGGAATGTGCTTCCCAGGGGACATCTGGCAATGTCTTAAGATATTTGGGTGATCAAGACTGGGAGTTTGCTACTGGCATCTAGTGGATAAAAGCCAGGGATGCTGATGGTGCTGAATACCCCACGATGAGCAGAACAATCCCCCATAACACAGTATTATCTGGTCCAAAATGTCAGTAGTGCCAAGGTTGGGAAAACATGCCCTAGAGTTACAGATTTCCACACCACTGAGGCAAAACAGCAGCAGAAGATGAGCTGACACTCTTAATTACTCTCCCCTCCCCCCAAAATCTAGAATTAGGAGGAAATGAGTTATGGTGGTATTTCCACAGCTCATATATAAGGAAGCATTTGGAAGGAAACAGGATAGGGAAAAAGGAGGGGCATTTCAAGCACCAAAGTTCTTAGAAGAAAACATATTTTAGACGTTTTCAATATTTCCATTGTAGCAAATGTTAGCATCTGCAATGGGTTTTCACCGTCTAGACAGATGGGTAATTGAGACTTATGTCAGACTACAAAGTCTACACCAACTCCAGGAGTAAAATTTCCCAAGGGCTAATGGGTTTTAGATATGAGACTTCCAGTGGCTCTAATAATCATCATAACTCTCATGGATGACTTTAAAGGGGGTCAGAAAGTTGAAACCTGATGCATCTCCAAAAAAAGCTGACCGCCTAGTTACTACCAAGCACATTTTAATAGTAATAGCAAATGGAAATATTTCAATTTCAAAGGGAAAATTCAGAAGCAGTATATTCACTGGACCTGGTGACAGATAAACCAATATGAGGAAAGACATTCAAGGAAGCTTATTTTCCATTACATCTACACCTGTATTTGCACTGCAACATAATCTTTACTAAAATGAATATTGAGTATCCGCTTCTAAATGGAAAGACAAAAACAAAATTGTTCAAGTTAAATATTTTAAGAATATATATGGATGCCAGGTGTTTTGAAAAGACCTTTCACTGGAGGCTATTACAGTTAATGTGTTGAGACTTCGGCCACACCATCTGTGAGTACTGCCGGTTTTCATAATGTGCGATTCTGAAAGAGCATAACACTGCTGTACATTCCAAAATGCAGAGACCTCCAAACAAACTCCCCAGGGACAAATACTAACCACCAATCTGTGATGAAAATCTCTTCTTTTGCCTCCTCCATTGCATCTGCCACATCTTCAAAATATCCTTTGGCATTGACATACCTGAAAGACAAGTTTTTGTTTCATTTTTTAAATGGAAAAAAGAAAGACATCTATCATATTGCAAAACAAAAGATGGAAGCCACTGCTCAAGTCTCCGCAAAATCGCCAGTTTATATACTTGGAAAACAAGGATTGAAAGCAACGCCTTCGGTCTGCTATACAGGAAGTGCAATGAGCAGAGAGAAGGAGGCAACCTGATTCTTCTCTGTGAGAGAATCACAAACTGATGGGTCTCACCATCAGATGGGGTCAGATGGAACTCTTCCATCCTGTTGAACTCATACGTGGTTGTTCTTCTGAGACTGAAAGCAGGCCAGTTTCTAATTCATGGGTAGAAAAACATGCTAAGCTGGATTTTATTTAAAAGAAATATCTAGCAAGTAAATCCTCTTTCTTATATTATGGCTAATGACTTTAATAAACCTTCTTTTGCATCACTAAGAAAATGTATGAGGTTAGCTTTTAAAATCAAACTTCAAAATCTGAAGTTAACTATCTAAAGTTCACTGTAAAAGCAAAAATTGGAAAACAAATCTATGCTCAGGTCGTCCTATAAAGAAAGGCCCTTGTTAAGTATAATGCATATCTTTTCACAGCTTCAAAAATTGATTCCAGACCACCATAATATTAAATGTTACGACTACTTTGACAGTCTTAGAGCAAAAAGATCTTACCATTTAGCTAAAGTGTTCTCTTGGATTGCAGCATATGACCCAAATCGATGATCTTTGAGAAAGTTGGTGCCATATTTCTGGATGAATTCTTCTATAGCTCCTCCCCACCACCGAGCATGTCTATAGCTGTTGCATTTTAAAATAAGTGTCCTTCAAAAGAAAAGCAAAGTGTGGGAAAGAATGGTCACTCTGGGTTCTATCTCTTTAAACAATTTAAAAATTAACCATATCCCATTTTGTTTGGTACTGCAGCAAACATTAAGTTGGAAGTTTTAGGCAAAGAGCACCTTACTCATGTCAAAAGAGCAGACTTTTGAACATTTTTGGCAGGATTTAAAGGTATACTCAATGTAGCAAAAGCAAACGCTCAGGTTACTCATTCCCTCATTCACTCATGCAAACGTGTGTAAAGGCACCTACTATATATAGGCTTACAGCTAGCAGTGCCGGGCTGTGAGGGGGACAGTGGGAGAGGCGTGAGGTAAGGTCCTGCATCTAAGTGTTAGAGAGTTGTTGGCTCCTGGGGAGGACATTTCCCTTTGGGCTTCCTGGTGTCCATTCCCTCGGCCTCTGGAAACATCCTGATTGTGCTTTAGGAGGTGAATCCGTTCCCTACTCTGAGTTCACCAAAGCCAACAAAACGGTACCTTCCAGCCCTTGATCCCAAAGACCGGTTCAGGGCTGAGCACATAAGCCAACTCCACCCACTAGTGAAAACAAATCCAAGGACTTGCTCAGAAATGCCAGGAAGAGATTCTTTCCCTTCCACTGAACTTGGTCTGAGTGTAAGAGGCCAGTCATCTTGCTACCACCAGGGGACCAGCCTGAGGATGGAGCAGATGCACAGGAGATGGAGCTGAGAAGGGCCAGGAAAATGTGCCTCAATGACATAGGCTGAACCTTGGAATCAGCCGTGCCTAACGTGGCTGATGATTACCTCTGACGTAAGCCAGACTGCATTGGATTTTTCTATCTCCAGTGACTAGATTACCCCACATGGTTACAGATTTATAGGTGCTGAAAAAAAATTCAAAGCAGGAGATTACAAAAAGTTATTATCACATGTCAAATGTCAGAATTGGTGACCACCACCAACAGGTGAAAATAAGTTATTCAAAGAAGGTGTTGGAGCCAGCAGTCTGTCTGCCATTCAGGGAGAAACCCACCCCCAATATAAGAAGAGGACTGCAAGTGAGGAGGGAGAGTTTGCCATTTTGGGGAAACGCAATGATCACGATGAGAAGCAGGGAAGGCGCTATATTCACAGACCCTAAAATCATTATTTAAAAGGATTAGAGATGTCCAAACTGGTCCCCTCGATACGTCAAAGACTGATGCTTGCGCTTTTGTCTGGGTGGCTAATGTTCTGGGGTGTGGTGGTGCCGGGAGCAGAGAGGCATGTCCAACAAGTGGCAGAGGAGACGCGGGTTCTGCCCAAGAGGGCACGGACGGTGCCGGGGCTTGAGCCATCACGCAAGTACTAACTCCAGCTGAGCTGAAATGCCTCTGGAAACCAGTTATGAGAAAAAGATTTTGTGGAAGACATAAGTGACAAACAGAGGTCTTGTCACAGGACGTGAATCAGAGTGAAGAAAAAAAAACTATTCCAAAGACGGAAATAGGAAGAGGAAAGGTGAAGAGGCCATAATAAAATGTGTGAGAAGGGATGGTGAAGACCTGAGAGGCTGCCTTACGGAGAGGGTGCAACTAAAGGCACAGAGACAAAAGGTCTTCGGCTATAAATGGAGGAGTTTGGGTTTATTTGATAAAATGAGGAGGACCACTTATACCAAGGAGGAAGCAGAAGAAACCTGCATCTCTGTGGATTTATTTGGCAACAGTGTACAGATGAGTGAGGAAGAAATGGAGATAAGACAGCCAGTAAAGTAATTGTTACCGTGACCAATGAGAACTGCAGCCTGAAGTCTGTGGTCCTTAGGAAACAGGAACGTAGTACCAGGAGGGAGATGGCAGCGCCATCACATTTCTAATAACCAATCCTGAACCTTTTATTGTCAGAGATCAGGAAGCTCAGCATTTTTTTCCAAGTACACAAACACACGTGCAAGTGTATATTAGTAGGAGTAGTATATTTATATGTAAATATGTATGTTTTTATATCAGTGAGTTTATGTAGAGAGAAATGCATATATATTCATAGACATCAGGCTGAACTTTATAGAGACAAATATATATAGACAAAAATACACATATATTGTATAACTATTATTTGCCAAAAAGAAACATATTTATCAACACACACACACACTCGCTAATAAAATCCATAGTAAATGTACACTTGAGTATCCTTTCACAGTATCTTTCTTAAAATCTGTGTGTAAACAGGATTTTTGTAAATCAAACTGCTTTTTACATGTTTTGTTAATTAAAGGATATCAGTTTATAAAGTAAAATTTTACTTCTTAAAATACGAACTATCACTCCTTAATTTATTTGCTGGGTAAAATCGGTATTAATGAGTAGTGAGTCTTGTTAAAACAGGCATATATTTTGTTAAAATAGGCATACAGTGTGACACACGGGATCATTTATTCTGATTCTTGCACATATGATGTGCAAACAGAAGTAGTTTCATTTCTTTTGATTGGGGATGAGTCCTAAATCACAATTTTCTAACATCGAAATTATTTTGCCTTCTTCTTCACTTAAGGTTGGGAGAATAACTCCGTTTTCCAGAGAAGTCTTTTTAAATATTTGTAATTTCTACCTTGAAAGATTATCAATTCGGAGTCCGTATTTCGTCTCTGTCTCCTTCCTGCCCATCTTAATTCTGAATTCTTTGTCTACCAGCAGGACGAAGGCAATGGCACCGCTGTCTGGTTTCATGTACAGTAAAAAGGAGTCCTTCACTATCAACCACCTGTGAGAAGGAAATAAGCAGTTTTAACGTTGCACTGAACGATGGAAACAAAAGGAACAAATTATTATGACAGGTCTGAAGTACACATTCTAGCAGACAGCAGACATGCTTTTATATTTCAGAAGGGAATTTATTTTCTTAAAAAAATCACTGATACAAAAAAATAAAAAATCTTTCTATTATGTTTTTCTAAGAAGTGCTGGCACCAAGCAATTCGAGACCATTCATTAGCTCTTTAAACACTAATGGCAAAGCCTGGAAGAAAGGCCCTGACGTGGGCAGGTCGTATTCACGGGACGCCCAGCACAAGCCATGGCTGTTGGGAAAATGGAATGGGTTGGTGTTTGCTAAAATAAACTAGCATCAAAGAAGCAAATAAGTCTCTTGGTAAGTAAAATCCCCCTTTTAAAAATCCAGGAAGCACCCAGTGCTCTACATACTCTCTTGTTCATTTCAAATCATTTGTGGCTTTAAGGACCATTAATAAATGATGCTCAGGGGCACATGATCTCTCCAAAGTGTATGTGCATTCAATCCAGTATACGTGTAAGTGCTTCGTGATGGAAAAAAACAGTGATAAGCTGGGAGTTAGGGCAGAGGTAGAAATGGCACAAAGACAAATCAGATGTGTTCTCAAAGGAGCTAGTTAGGCCAGTGGGGCACAAACAGCGACAGTTCCAGCCCGAGTGGGACAGGTCTTAGGAGAAGAAAGCAAACAGGGAGGTGCATAAGGAGGAGGGGTCTTTAGTTCTCACTAAGAGAACGGGCTAATGGCATTCTCCCAAAAAGCTGATGTCTGAGTGAGGCCAGGAAGGAACCCCTCAGGCAGAGCCCACAGGGGTGGTGGAGATGTATATCCCCCACGGAGGGAGGAGTCAGCAAAGGCGCTAAGGTGTGGAAACGCTGCAGGTATTGGGAGAACGTCCGGGGAGGCGAGGGTTTTCTGGGCTGCAGCAAGGGAAAATGGGCGGATGAGGGCAGGGGGAAGGAAATGGGCAAAGGCCACACTGAGGAGGGTTTGAAGGCCACGTGAAGGAGGCCGACTTTATATCATAGAACCAGTGTTCTCTCAACTTGCCTGATCATCAGAACCTCCTGAGATGTTTGTTAAAAAAAAAATAGTAGATTTCCAGGCCCCAATGCATATCCATTAAAAAGGCCAGTGTTTCTACCAAGACCTAGGTACTTATTAAATAAGGGAATCTTCATGCCCCTGCTAGGCAGTGGGACAATAAATCAGGAACTATGTTTTAGAAAGAAAGTATGAAGGATAAAGAGGGATGTACTGTATGTAGCGGGTTAGCAAGTCACTGCAACAATAGGGAACAGTGCTTCTCACACCTCGTGTCAATATGCATCACCAGGGGACCCTGTTCAAATGCAGATTCTGATTCAGTAGGTCTGGGGCGGGCCTAAGATTCTGCATTCTAACAGATCCATAAGGTTAGGACCACACATCCAGTGGTAAAGATGCAGATGAAAGGTGTGACACTGACAATGGGAAGAGCGAGAGAGAAAGGGTGGGACTGATTTAAAGTGAAAACAAATGGCAACTTTGTCAAGCGGCGTCTAACGTCATATTTACCTGCAGTTGTGGAGTGATCGAATGAATTCGCTGATAACTAAAGAAAGTATCAGTGGGAGTATTATATAACTTATCAGGCAACGCACAGCACATTATGAAATAGATAAGGCCAGAACATCTGAACATAAACTAAGCCATGTTGTGAATGTAACGTGGGAACTCAGCATTTAAAAGAAATCTATAATAAATCATTACTGCAACTGCTAACTACATTACATTTCAGTGGCTCTCGGATTTGCGATTTAATGTAGAAAAATCTACATGGATTTCCACCCAGTGTCACTTCATTCATCTGTTTTTTTAATATGTAGGCTGTGTCCTTCCCAATAAAAAGGGTGTGGGATGGATTTAGGATAATACAGTAAAGGACCTACATGTGAGACGGTTAATAAAAGGAAAAGCATCAAGGTCACAGAAAGCAAACACCTAACCGCAATGCTAGTACAATCATGGTGAAGCACGCCCATGTGGGTTTGCGCTTCCTGGTTTTTCTTATCAAATGAATAAATTAGAAATAAAGAGGTCTCTCACCAAAAAACTAAATTCCAAAGGAAGTCTCCCACTTGGAACCTAACATAAGGCAACTGAACAATATTCATGGGTAACATTCTCAAAAATTTTCAGCAAATGTAGAAACGATACATTTTATAAGAATTCTCATAATCCTGCTCAATATAAATGCCAAGGCCATGATATCAAATGGTAACTCAGTTATTCTGATGGGGTTGAGTTATGAGTCCAGACATGTAGCTGCCTGTTGATAAAAGTCAGTTAAGGCTAAAAGAGAGTTGCTGGATCATATATCTGGTAAAAGTCCCACTCTGGCTGCAGTCCCTTGTCCCAGCTTGACTTCTGATGCAAGCTAGAAAGCAGATGGCAGGGCCCGGACCCGGGGCACTGGTGGGCTGTGCTGCTGACTGGGAAGGAACCACAGGCTTTGAAAACCACAGCTGCAAGGTTTGCCAGTCTGCAAAAGAAAGTCACACATACCAGACTTGGGAAGTGGCCTGCCTGGAAGCAAGGATACCTGAATGGCATCAGAGCTCGCTCTGGCCAGAGCTCCATCCACACCAAAGACAACAGTGTGGGATGGTGATGGAATAACCCCTGCCCAGTGTACAGTTCCCATCGCTGGCATGGGAACAAATCACAGGCTCAGGGCATAATCACCAGGGCCACGGGCTGCAAAACACGCCTTCTGGAATAGGCCACCAGCTACCACTGTGGAGATGTGCCCTGCACCAAGACACCTGCTGAAGGAGGCGTGGTGTCTACTGCACCATCCTGCAGGAACAGGCACTTTTCTCTCATTTGCAGAGGCTCTGATGCCACATTCAGCAGCAGAAATGAGAGGGCTGAGTGTACGGTGGGGCCAGGCCACGGTTCAACCCTGGGGGTGCCGTTATCATTGTATCCTATGTGAAAAAGTTCCTCCCCGGCCCCTTCAAGATGTGGCAGCCTGGAAATACAGAACTATTTAGGAATGACTACTGGATTTTGCAAGCTGACGGCAAAAGTTAATGGTTTCTGTTTTAACAACGATGAGTTGTTCTCTGTAACAGTCATTGGATATCAGATGAATTGATGCCTGGCCTTTATTTAAAGCTCTTCTTAATTATGTCATTCAGTAAATCACTCCTGGTTTCTTCCTTTTCTCTCTTTTGTCAATAGATTTTTTTCTCTAACATACGCAAAAAGAAAGGACTCCATCCAGCAGCCTTCTGGGAGTCATCACCTGCTGCAAAGGGATTAAGCGTGTGCCTTGAAGTCAGCCTCCCTGGGCTCCAGTTCTGGTTCTGCCACTCACCCGTATGATCTTGGGTAACTGAGCCTGAGGTCTAAATCCAGAAAGCGAGGATAGTTCGTAAGTGTCTGTGAGGATTCACTGAGATGATTCATGTATATTGCATAGCACAATGCCTGGCACCAATAAATGTGAGTTGTTTATGAATGCTCTTGTTCTAAACCAGATGAGATTATGGTCTGTTCTAGCAAGGTGCCTTCCACTTGTGCTACTAACTGCCATGTCATTAAAACACAGCTAGACCCACGTGATCCAGCCATCACCTTCTGAGCCTCATCTACTGTTCTCTCCAAATGTTGGTCTGGCTGGTCCTCAGACTTGCTAAACTTGTTCTTTGGGCTTCCACACTTGCTATTCCTCATCTAGAAATTATTTCTTCCAGATTCTCCCATGGGTGGTTCCTTCCTGTCAATCAACCCTTTGCTTGAACATTCTTCCACGGGGAGGCGTTCCGGGGCACCCACGCAGCCCCTCCTCCATCCTGTTTAGCTTCTTCATAGCACTTAGCACTCTCTGGAACTATTTGTTTGTCTGCTTGTGTATGATTGCCCCTCCCCTAGACAGTGAGATCCCGGAGAGCAGGGAATGCGTGTCACGTCCACGGGTTTCTTCCCAGGGCCCAGAGTAAGTCTTCAGGCAAGGCAGCCCTCTTGCCTAAATAACGGCTGCACAAATGGGTCCCAGAGAGGAAAGAAAATCATTTAGTCACTGTCTAAAAATTGTAATTCTTGGTATAGCTCGTAGTTCAGCAAATGTGAAATTTACTTCTTAAAAGCTCTTTATCTCTTTCTCTTAAGACATTACTTGAGCTAAGAAACTTATCATGTGGTCCATCAATAGGATGTGCTGTTTAAGCAGACGTTTTAAATTGTGGGAAGAAATGTTTGCTGGGTTTGTCATTTTTTGTTTATATTTGTGGCTGAGACAAGGTCATCAAGAGACTTGATTGAAAGTTTGATTGCCCTGTTTGCCTGATGTCAATTTGTCAATATAGGATATATAAAGTAATCAGAATGGTTTTTTTTATGGAAACAAAAATAAAAGAGAGTTAGTTATGACCTAGTGTTGCCCTTGAAAGTAACCCTCCTAGTGTGGGAAGCTTCCTAAACACACATTGTCAGCTGTGTCTTATCATCTTTTTTTGGTGCTGGTATTTTATATCACGTGAATGTGACCCTGGAAATACTTACTAATATGGAACCAAGGTTTCAATTTCCATGGAAAGATTTATACAATTTTAAATGATGACACATTTCATTTCCAGGGAGGATCATATCTTTTTAGATTGTCCTGGTTGATGTCTGATTTAATCCAAAATTTAAAAAGTGGAGGAGGTATATTTCCTTTATATGACAAAGTCCACCCCACATCTTTTTGGGCTGCCCCTTCTTACAGAGGTTACAACTCAAACGTCAGTCCCTTGGCTCCTGGAGCTGAAGTCGCCCTCTGCAGTCCTCAAGTCCCTCACTACCCCATTGCCTTCTTTTCCCCTCAAGGCTCTGATCAGCACCTGCACTGATGTCATTCACATTGCTTGTCAGCCTCTCCACTGCCTACATTCCCTCCAGTATTGCTCCGTGAGGGCAGGGGACCTTGTCCTGTTCACCACGGTTCACACTGCGGCTAGAACACAGCCTGGCAAACATTAGGTACTCAATAAATGACTGAATAAATGACAGATCAAGACTTCCATTGCTTGAGTAGATGTCTTAGGTTGAGTTGCTCCATAAGTCAACTCTGAGACAAAGATGCCAGTGAAAGCAGGTTGGAAAGGGACTTATTAGGGAGCTTACTAAGAAGTACACGAAGGGAAGGACAGGAAGGAAGAGCAGAAAGGGAAGATATGTTTTCATGCACTTGATTGTGGGCAGTTGGGCTGCCAACCCACTGGTGAACTCCGGGAGACAGTGCAGAGCTTGCTGCAGAACCACCCCACCATAAGGGGTTAGGGGACTGGATTCCTGCCAGCTCCTGGCTGCAGGCTGCTCCTGGGGGCTACAAACACTTCCAGCCTGCTCTGCTCAGGGAGCCCAGAGCAAGTCTTCAGTCAAAGACCCACAGGTGCTTGCAATCCGAAATCCGTACTCGGCACTCAGAAGCAGACTTAGGCAAAGCTGATGACTGGGGAAGAGCAGTCAGGAGGAATCTGCATCCAGGCCCCAGTGGGCTGGGAAGCCCTGCCTCCCAGAGAGGCACAGCATGGGGCAGGAAGCGGGGGCAGGAACAGGCTGGCTTATACTCCATTCCTCTCCTCGGTTGGCATTTAGTGTTCCCCAGGGTTCCCCAGGGTTCCCCAGGGTTCTGTGAAACTGGGGGTGGGTGAGGAGGGGAAGATACCTCAAGCGGGAGTCTCTGAATTGCCTGTGATGTTACTTATACCCTAAGTTTCTGGGGACATTTATATAAGTTACAGAAGTTTATTTGAAAATAAGTATTTCCTAGTCTATTATTTCTCTTTTTATTTTAGTAAAAAAAATTTTTTGTAGCACAGAAATTTTCAAATGTTTCTATGCTAATCTCTTGATTTTTTTCCTTCTAATTTCTTCTATCCTTTCAAAACAGAAAATGAGAGCCTAACTCAATGGTATGTTTTGCTGGTATTGCATCTGAAATATATTTAAAGGTAGAGGCTAGCTTTAAGTTTATATATTTTTAATATGCACATAGTTCAATTTCATATTTATACATGAGTTCATGTATCTTTTCCAAGGTTAGAGAAATAACACGTATTTCTTGTTTGTTTTTGGTGGCAGGTAGTAATTAGGTCTATTTATTTATTTATTTTTAGTGGAAATATTGGGGATTGAACACAGGACCTTGCACATGCCAAGTACGCACGCACTCTACCACTCAGCTATGCCCTCCCCACAACAAGTATTTCTTAATGTTTTTCAAAATCCTGGTAAATTATTATCGCAACAAACAGTTATTGTCTATTATGTTCAAAACATTGTGATACATGCTTTCAGGAACAAATAAGAATCAGATAAGAATACTGCTCCACAAAGTGTCTTTAGTTAGATAGGACACAGGATTTGAATTAAAGTTCTCTGTCTGTATCACACTTACCATAATATACATTCTCATAAATATAATTCTAAAATTATCCCTGAACTCTGACCAATTTTTATTTTTTTAGTTTTTTTAATGTACAGTTTAGTGCGGTTTTAGTATATTTTAGTTTAGTATATTTGTAAATGTGCACACCATCACCACTAATATCTAATTCCAGAATATTCTCATCACCCAAAAAGAAACCCTATACCCATCAGTAGTCACTCCCTATTCTCCTCTCCCTGCAGCCCCTGGAAACCACTAATCTACTCTGTCTCTACAGAACTATTTATTCTGGACATTTCATATGAATAGATTCACATAATATGTGACCTTTTGTATCTGTTTTTATTTGCTTAATGTAATGTTTTCAAGGTTCATTCATGATATAACATGTATCAGTACTGCATTCCTCTCTTTTCATTAAAATTTTAAAAATTTTACTCAAATAATATATTCACATTCACATAATATAAAATTCACCCTTTAAAAATGCACATTCAGTGGTTTTTTAATATATTCACAAATTTGTGCAACCATCACGGCCATCTAATTCCAGATACTTTCCAAAAAGAAACAACATACCCATTCCTTTTTATGGCCAAATAATATTCCACCATATGGATATACCACATTTAGTTTAACTGTCCATCAGCTGATGGATATTTGGGTTGTTTACACTTTTTGGCTACTCTAAATAATGCTCCTATGAATATCCATTTATCAGTTTTAATATAGGCATATTTTTTTCAATTCTCTTTGGAAATAGCTAGGAGTGGACTTGCTGGAGCATATGGTGACTCTATGTTTAACATTTTGAAAAACTGCCACTCTGTTTTCCGAAGTGGCTGCACCACTGCATTTCCACCAGCAATGTGTGAGAGTTCCAATTTCCCTACATCCTTGTCAGCATTTGCTATTGTCCACCTTTTGTATTACAGCCATCCTAGTGTGTGTGAGGTTGTCTATCATTGTGCTTTTGATTTACATTTCCCTAATGACTAGTGATGTTGAGCATATTTAGGTGTGCTTATTGGCCGCTGACCAATTTTTGACTCCTATGGCTCACTGGGTTTTCGCATATATAATATAATTTGCACACTCTGCCTACAAGCCCAAGTTTGAGTAGAATGTTTAAACAGATGTTGAAACTTGGAACTTCAAATAATTTAAAATTTGCTCTACCATGACTTTCAGAGAATTTATAATTGAAAACTAATATGTAAAAACCCCCCAAATATCCAGTTTATTGAGACAAACACACAAAACTCCTAAGTCCTACCTTTTTGACCACCGGTAGCAGGCTCTTCCCTGACCACAGCAATTCAAGCCTGGTATTCTGTGTCCCCCGGATCTTTTCATGATCATACCTTCTCTGAAAGAGACGTCAAGTTAACCCATCATCTTCAAATTTCCAACTCACGCTTAGCTAACATGGCCTCACAACTTGGTACTAAATAAATTGTTTCATTCTCACTTTTTCCTCTGCTCAATGCCATGTTCACTAGGCTGAGCACTCCAGCAGCTAATCTTTAAAAGCATCTGGTCAGATGGAGGCCTCTTGGCTCTGGGAGTAGCATACATAATTCTGTTGCACACACTGCAGGACCTTAAGCATCCTGCTTAGGAGGCTTCTGGCTCTACATGCTAAGTGGTCCCTCCAGTTATCATGAAAAATGCCTGCAGGAGGAAGGTTCGGCTGCTTTTGAGACCATTGGAGGTGCTCACCCCCAGATTCCAAGGTTTTTGTTAATCCCTTCACCTCCAGTTCTACGACCATGCCATGCAAAGAAGCAGAGTGAAGCTACTACTTTGGAAAGAGAAATATCTTGATTTTGAAAGATGTGAAAAGAAAGAACAGTAATAATGGCTAGCCAAACAAAAAAGCTAAAGCAACTACTAACAATCCTCTTTACTGAAAAAGTTAAGCTCTTAGTAACATCAAGCTTGCATTGTGAACAAAAATAATCATTAAGTTGATTTCAGTCTTCGTACATAACATACATTTTACACAGTATTATTTTTAGTCATGAAAGTAAGTGATAAACAGCTAACTTCTACAAGTGATTGAAGAGGGGATCTTTAATATTTGATTTTTAATGCATTCTCCCACACATCATATTTACTACCTCTGTTAAACACCCCTCCCATGGGGTTAGGGGACATCTGTGCTGTAAACCCATGAGGAGGAGGTAGGAGCAGTTGCCACCTTGTTTAATGTAGCAAGATAATTCTGTTTTGTGTAGAGGGAAGAAAAGCAGCTATCAGTGAAGCCAGGCGAGCTCCATCACCTTAGCATGCTGATAAATCAAATGTTAATGCTCAACTTTTCACACACTTCTTAAAGATCCAACACTGGAACTTACATGCCCTTTGGTCCCAAATCATGGATGAAAGACAGCTGGCTTATATCAAGGAATTCCGTCTGAAAGAGGCCAAAAAAACAGTACTTTAGAAAGCAAAAGAAACAAATAAATGAAAAGAAGAGGGAGAGAAATGTACGTGTTCAAAAAACATCACTAGGAACCACTGTGTATAAACACGTCTAGGGTACTCTACAGACTACACAGATCAATAACAATGGTATCGTCCCGAAAGAGTATGGATTAGAGCATGTACACAATTAAAACACAATCAAGAAAATGATGTGTCTAAGATGTAGAGATTAAATGCTCAAGAAGGTCATGGAGAAATCTGACAATGGTGGGAGACCATGTCAATAACAGCCTTAACAGAAAATCAGAGACAAAAAGCACACACTCCTGACACTAGGAGGCAGGAGATCAGACATGGAAAACCCTCCACATGAACAGAGTTCTGTGGGAAGAACAACAGTTACATGTGAAAGTAGTTATAGAGTTACAGCGAGGGGGTGACCGCTTCCAAGCTAACGTGACATCACAGAGGAAATGGCATTTGATCTGGGCTTGTAAATAGAATTAATAAAATGAAACAACAATTTTCCTTTAAAGTTTTGTATATGTGATTGGGACAATCTATTATTAACCTTATAAGAAAAAATTACACATCTCTCAAAGCTGTCAGTACTGTGAGGTCCAATTAAATACTCGATTTTCTTTCTCAGGGCTATTTAAGGAAGTCCTTAAAATTCAAAAGGATTTACATACCTTTAAGAACCTCAGATCAAACATATCCTCACAAAGTACTTTTTATAGAGTATTTTGAAAGTCAAGGTCTTCACATTTTATTTCTTGTATAAAACATGGTGATTTAGTACCATGAACTTTTTTTTAATTGGAGTATGGTCAGTTTACAATGCTGTGTCAATTTCTGGTGTACAGCACAAGGACCATGCGCTTTTCATCTGATTCGTGGAAATGCTTTCTAATTGGAAAACATAGAAATGCATAAACTGATAGAAGTGATACCACAGAACTTTAAGCCATAGGATCCAAAATGTTTAAAAACCCTGAGCCATAACTTCTCATTTTCTCTCTCAGAAGCAGAGAGGAAATACTAATCCTAGTTTATATTGGGAAAAACTACTACAGAGGTGTAACTAATTTATGCAAAGTCAGAGACTGGTTGAATGGAAGATTAGAAAATGAAAAGCAAAGCTCAGGGAAACACTTATCTAATACTTGATTATTTTTTTATTCACATAGCTCTTACCAAATAGTTGACAATGGAAATATTCTTTGAAATAATTCAGAAATCATAGCTTCAGAACATCATACCAAAATTGCTAACTGTAAAGAATTTAATCTAAATTTAAAAAGTATACATCAGCAATGCAGATTTAAAGTTTTGTATTAAGATAAAAATTAAATTTATCCTAATGGTTTACCAAAGAGAAATTTAAAGAAAGAACAAGTCCTATTATAGAGAAAAAAAATCTTTGCCAATAAATATTCTAATACAGATTTATCAAATTGAAAACAAATGTGGCAAGGTCAATTTAGAAACAAACCTAACTACTACAATTTGAAATTTGACAAAGATTGTGTTGTCCAAACTTCCCAGTGCACCTTTAGTGATAAAAGTGTCATTCTCCATTGGGGTAGGTGATGCTCAGGAATAAGAATTTAATAAAAGAACAGATGTATCCTGATTTTCAAATAAAATAAAAAGAATTTAATGACCCATTTAGCCTGACAATATTCCATAGGCTTACTGATCTCTGAATAATGTACTAATCAGTATCTTTTTTCTTTCCAGAGGAACTTGTGAGGCTGCAAATCTAGTCTCTGGGCCAGATTACATTCAGAATGAGGAAAATAATATTATACAATTAAGACAGATCATATTGTATCCTATGCTTGCAGCACTTTGGAGAATTCCGCTGTTGGAGAGAATAATCTAAGTAACAACAGAAAAAGAGAAATAACATCTATGGAGTCAGTTGTAACCAGGTTTTCCCCTCCAAAGGAAATGTTCAGAAGACACTCTGGAATATCTAAATACAACATGCTTCAACTTTTAAAAGATTTTTATGATTGGAAAAGAAATTAAAATGAATACTTTGAAAAAATGTAAACATTTTTTAATCAACACTGGACTCCCAAGTATAGTAAGGTATGGAGAAAGAGGAGACTAAACTCAGCAAGCCCTGTGCCAGAGCCAAAAGAAATATTAAAGTCAAGTCACAGGCAGGCAGAAAGGTAAAAGAAATGGAAGACAATCGCACCCTGGTACTAGTACACACTAAATAATTCTCTACTGAAGGACACACCATGTCTGATTTTGGAGAATACAACCAGCAGCAGCATTTTTAGTAATAAAAGCAGTAATATCCTGATTCATTATGTTCTTTCAAAGACGCACACTCCCGAGTCCTAGGAAGGGAAGCAATCCTTCCCACCAGCCTTCACTTCAGATCCTCTGGTTGGACCCAAAGTGCTGGTCTCCCTGGGAAAACTCTTCTCCTGGACTGTGAAGCCACAGGTGTCCTTCCCGTCCATGGGCCACCACAGAGAAGCTGCTGCAGAAGGGGGGCCGTGGCCCGGCCCCAAGTCGCTTGTGTGTAAAGAGGACCCACTGGCTCCATGCCCAGCCTCCAAATAACACACTGGCAGGCAGCAATAGCGCAGCGAGTCACCAAAAAACTCCAAAGAGGCAAGGCACTCTTGCTTCCTCTCCTAAATACAGAGGGCTTCCTTCTTTCTGGCTTACATAATGCCATTCTCTACACAGAAGCCAAATCATAACTGCAAGTACTCTTTAAGTCCTGCACGTAGATGGTACACCCACGTCCAGCCTCCACAGCAATACAGTTTATACATACAAGGGCACAAAGTATGATAATCCAGTGCACTTTCCATCATCTGAACCACTGGATAATTGAAAGCTTTAAATTTAGAGTCTTTAAAAACACTCCCCCTTCAAGGGCCTCTAAGAGGGCAGAGCTCACTGCTTTCTGCTGCCTTCTGTAAAGTCCACTTCCTCCTGCTGGCCAGCTACATGCCTCCCAAACTTCGTCTCTGCAGCTACGTCTAAGCCCCGCCACCTCTCCTCTCTTTTCTCTTAGCTCTTCCCATGCTTCTCACTTTCACACGAAAAGACAGGCCTTTGACGGGCCTCACAGGCCAATCAGATAGCAAGCACAGTATGCTCCACATAATCTCCGTATATTCAACTCTGCTCAACTGTTTTCATCACCAACCTCTCAATGTTTTTTCTTCAGTGTTAGAAATACTTTGGGGCATTATTCTGGAAGCTTGAGGAGAGAAGGAGGTTGATTTCTAGATAATCCAGCCTGTAGTAGCATTTCAAGCTCATTTAAATCTATTGTTATAGACATATTAATTAAGTTACATTTGATTAAAATAAACAGCGTACTCTTAAACGGGATCCTTGCTGTCAAATCGACTTTGTATTCATTTCATTTGGTTTAACCCAAAGAGTAGTGCAGAAGTGGATAAAAGCACTTGTGTTAATAAAATGATCCAAAATTTAGCTGACACTTTACGATTTTATAAATTATTTCAAAATTTAAAGCACTGAATAGTACTTACCGTTGCATGATAGTTTCTATACATGGGCATTTTCAGTAGCTTCGTCAAGTAATCCTCCAGTTGTTTCTGTAATGCGAATATTTTAGGTAAGAGATATCATCCTACTTAAAGAAAAATTTAAACAGTGACAATGATGTGAGCTTCATTCCAGTTTAGCTTCCATAAGCTATTCAATTATTTATTGCTGTTATCACTGGACAAGGAACCCTGAATACATCCCTTTCAGAACATAAAAGTTTCAGATTACAAAAGAGAACTGACACTTACTTGTCAATTTCCTGGTAAAAAAATAATCTTCTACCCTGTGCAGCACTGTGTATCACTGAAGCAGAGCGGGCATAAGTGTCCCCCTCCTGAGATTTCTGTCCTATTGTCACACATGTCTGTACTCAGTCCTACTCTTCCCGACCCTAACTGCCCCATCTAGAGTTTGGGAATGAGATTTTACATGTATTTAGGATAAGCTACCTACCAATGCTGAACCAAATATATGGAAACAGATTATTTTAAAAGAGTAGATCTCAAAGCCCTCAAGGATGAGCTCAACCTTGACTCACAACAAACCGCAAGAGGGTCCTGCAGGGAGGGCAGCTTCCTCATAATGTCACTCCTGACAGAGAACATTCTTACTCTTCTGGGGAAATGCAACCTCAGGGTCAGAGTGGCTTGGGGGCGGGGTGGGGGGGTCGCCTAACGAGTTCCAGAGAAGCTAAACCAGCCTGGGTGATGGAGCAGCAGGTGACAGAAGTGGCGTCCAGGCCCACCTCACCCCTGAGGAGATGCCATGTTTCTACAGCACAGCCAAAGTATGCTCAGAACAACAGAGGAGCAAAAGGACTTACCCTTTTACCAAAGAACTGCTCTTGGATCATGTTTTCAGATGAACGGGGCAAGCTTGGCATCTCTCGAGGCTCTTCTTTGACATTCTGTCTTCTAAATGTATGTCTGAAACACACACAAACACACACACACAATGCAAACATTTATTAGATTATTCTTTGAATCAAGACTCTCGTCGTATCTTTCCTGAGATGGCTTATTTTTAGAAGACCTATTTAATAAAAAATATCCACCAACACCGGACTAGTTAACCAACAGTGCAAATAAAATAGTCTTTCCACCCAACTCGTGTACTGGGATAACTGTAATTCCGAAACAGTTACCTTTTGGTGGGAATGGGGATTCGGATAAAGGCTTTGTACTTGAGCAGTTCTCTGTGGAATTCCTGGAAGTGCTTGAATTTCCTCTTGACTTGCCATTTAAATTCCCCATGTGTTAATTCAATAGTGTAAAGATTGGTGCTTGGTACCTACAGTGAGAAATAAAAATGGTTGATATTTTAGATAAAAATAAGAATTTCAAAATCTCTCAATGAACAAAAGCTTACTAACATGTAACAGGGAAGTACCTTTAAATCAAGCCTACTTATTTTGTGTACTAAGTACTTAAGCAAAATGTTTTCAAAAACAACTGATTACAGAAATAATATTCACTCAGATACTCATCTTATAATATACATAAGACAAACTGAATCACACCAAAGACAAACTCACAAATCTTGCTCCAAATACAAACACACACACACACACACACACACACACACACACACACACACACACAGACACACACACACTCCTACACCTGAAATAAGAACCCAGGTAAAAGAGATGGTGAATAAAAGCTCTAAGCAGCCAACAGGGGATTGTCCAAAAGTACAAGCAGTGAACAGACAATTGGAGAGGGTGGGAGGGAAGCTGGAGGAAATGGATTTGATTGTGGAGCACAATCTTAGCCCACTTTCGCTCTTCACAAATGACATTAATGCCTTCTCCTTCTGAAATGCCCTGCAAGGTCCATCCTACAACACCACCCTGTCCTGAAGAAACACCAGCGACTAGGAAGGCACAGGATGATTAGAGGGGAAAGAGCAAAACATCTTCCTACACACAAAATATTTTCCCCAACTACTTAACTAACAATGAATTTCCATTTACAATTTCAAAAACATTTCTTATTAAAATGCAAATATATCTTGGTGACTAGTGAATTATTTCAAGCAGAAGAGTTAACAGACCTGGGAGATAAAAATTTTGTTATATTAGAAAGTGTCAGGAGATGAGGGGTATTTATAAAGCACAGGCAATCCTGAAAGAAGTTTCCATGGTGTGGGGGTGGGGGGGAATGGACACCGCGGGGAGGACACTGGCCCCTGTGGGGAGATTCAGGCACCACAGATGTTGACAGGTGCTGGGGGTGGGAGAGAGTGAATGTCTCCTGCTTTGCTGGTTTATCTGGGCTTCAGTATCTATAACCCCATGGGTGACTCCCAGCCTGCTGCCATTCATCAGTGATGTCTGGTATATTTTGCAAACTTTTAAAGCATACCACTCTGTGCAGATGTTGTATATAAAACAGGAGCATGAGAATCCATGTAATTTGTGCTCTTAAGTCTAGAATCCAAACACATCACCAGGAAATACTCAAATCTAGCACTTGCTTTGCCTCTAGTTAGGATCCACGACCGTTACTACACCCAGCAGTTCAAGGAATCCAGTCCTGAGGTTCAGTATTGAATGCTGTCTTTCACCTTGGCCAACATTTTGGGCATCCTCCCATATCACGTCTTACAAAGAAGGAAAACTCAGAGAGGCCAGAAACTTTGCACTCAAGTGAAAAGTGTTCAATTTAAGATAAGCCAAATAAAGGAAGAAAAATTATACAATTAGACAATCCAGTCCCCTTCAAGGGATGCAGTTTTGGTTGTTGAAAGCACTCTGCTCCCAGTGCTGTTCCAGAGTGTAAAGAAAACACACGTTGAGTGGGGCCTAAAGAACACGTCAGGAACGAGTCAGAGCAGCGGAGAATTCTGAGCGGCACTTCGGGGCAACAGAACTGGCCAGTCCAGCATCCTGGCTTTCGTTTACTTCAAGAGCCAGGTAACATCATTATTTTCTTGCTAAACAGCTTTAGGAAAGCTCAACTTTTCCTTGGCTTATATCTGGCATTCTAGCTGGAATGGCGCTGCCCCAGGAGTCCACAGTGAACAGAAAACTGGGGAGACAGGAGGACTAGGGGAGGCATTTTGCGATTTATTAAATTTATAAATTGCCTTAAATGCCTTAAAAAAATTTTTTTTCAGAATGGGGAAATAGGCACATGAGGATAAAGACTAAATGAGAAGGATGCAGAAACTTGAGAGGTGATAAGGACTCAGCAACGATAAACAAAAACACAAACAGTTAAAAACAGTCATAGCTGGAGGAAGGAAGATGCGAGGCAGCACGTTAATTCACATGTATTGACTAATACAAGTTGAGTCCATAAACGTTCTGACCCTTGTTGTAGACGTAAAGCGCTCCACTTCCAGAACCTGCACTTTTATTGGACAGCCAGAGAGATACGTCTGTACATCAGGCTCCTTAAATCCTTGAGTCTTATAAATAGCAGAGAAAGGGATATACACTGAAAAATAAAGAAGTAAACACAGTTATTGCAAGAATACAATGATATTGGCATAACTTGCCTTTTACAGGCATCTTCTTTAAGAATCATAACGTGCTACAAGAAAACAGCTAATGAAACTCAGCCCAGCGTTAGACATGGGCAAGGAGAATCAATCATTTGCTGGTTGTTTCAAATCTGTGCTCTGCCAAGCAAGTCCTGATAAAGTCTCTTCCCCCAGCTCAGACCATCAGTCTTTACCTTCTTGTATCTTGGGATCAGTAGGGGACACATCGTAGTCCACCTCCTCTCCCTCGAAGTGGAGCTCCCGCGTGTCCAGATTTTCTATCAAATTACTCATGTCAGCAGCGATTTTCTGCAGTGCAGAGGTATTTACTCTTGGCTCATTTTTCAGGGACATGTTGACTTGAGACAGGGTAAAAGAAAAGGGGCTGGGAAAGAAGAACCAGACTAATTAATTTGGTCAAATAAAACCCTATTCTACAATTTAAATCCAGGCTTAGATGCAGCACATGGAACAAGTCTGTTGTGTGAGCCCCATTATCTCGACCTCTTCATTTCTCTTCTGGTTTAACATTTAAAGGATTTTTCGCTTGTAAATTAAACTGCAGTGAGATACTTAATCGTATCTCAAGCAAGGAAACAAGCAAGAAAAAAGAAACAGCTCATGGAATAAATGCCAATATATCTTTCATCCAATTTTATTAACTTGGATAAGTGAGGAAAGACATAAGGGAGTTTGGTTTGGGAATCGTTATTCAGAGAAAAGGAATTTATTCTTAACTCTAATAAATACATGGAAAGAAAGAATATCATCTAAAATAAGCAACTTTAAGTATTTTCTACAGAGAACTTGGAGCATTTTGTAATAATTTCAATATGCAGATTTTAAAATATTTTTATGATAGCATAACCTTTCTGGATTTCCTCTCTTTACAGACATGGAAATTGAAGCCTGGAGAGATTGGGTAACCTGATGAATATTTTGGGCAATCTTTCCAAGGTCACATAGCTAGGAGGTGATGGAGTAAGGCTAGTAAGGGATTCCCAAGCAAAGAGTACACTATCTTTTTGAGAAATGAAATTTTGGGCATGACTTTACTTGAGTTATAATGACATCCGTGCCTTGGAAGGTAACCGATTAGTATACCTATTCTGGAAGATACCAGAGGTGCAAGAATTATACTCTTCTCTCTCTCTCTCTCTCTTTTTTTTTTAGAAAACTGGTTCTATTTCATTCAGACATTTAATAACACAGGTCATTGCACATCAGTACCCAGGGAAGAAATGTTCACAGAGAATTTTATTTTTCATTTAAAATACTGAGATTTAAGCCCTGAGCACTGTCATCAGTTAGGTGAAAAATCCGTACTGCCTGAAATAATGTCTCTACTACAGCCAGACCCCAGAACAGGAGGGCTTCCATACCAGGTTCACTCATTACTGGAAATTCCAAACAATTGGGGAGCATCTACCACCTTCTCACTGTGAGATGGAATGAGTGAATGTGTAAAGGTGAATAGGCCGGTTCCCGCAATTCAGGTGTGCCTGACATGGGTGAGGGAAATAAGCTACATGACCCCAAACTTGTGCCTGGCCTCCTCCATGGTCTTGGCCTCCCTGAGAATGGCGTGTGCTGAGCAGAAGCTGCTTGGCTGGGCTCCCTCCTACAGATGCTATCAAGAAGCTGGGGGTTCTGTGAGAAATGCTGAGAGAGAGTCTTGAGCAGACTTGGGCAGCCCGTATTGTAACTCTTCAAGTCTCTAAACCTATACTGCTGTGTGTGGTAGAAAGAGAAATTGCATGAAAACGCAAGGATGGGAGTAGAGAAGAGAGGTTCTGGTTTGCCCCAGATATATAGAACCAGTATGTCTAAGTTCTCTGGGAACTATTTAATCCCCATGTTTCTTCCTCCATGTTGGCTGTAAGAAAGTTGGAGCCAAATTTGTGGCCCACTATTAGCAAAATACAGGACTATCCTCGCCTACATCACTTTCCTTCAACCTTCTCTCCCACTTTGAAGTTCGTATTATAGTAACAGTTGCTGTGTACTGATTGCTTAGTATGCCCCTGGCTTGGTGATAACCCTTGACATCCATTATCACATTTATCGTCATTCTGAAGGGGACAAGAGTTTGTCATCCTCTTTTTACAGACATGGAAACTGAAGCATAGAGAGATTAGGTAACCTGATGAATATTTTGGGCAATCTTTCCAAGGTCACATAGCTAGGAGGTGATGGAGTAAGGCTAGTAAGGGATTCAAAACCAGGTCTGTCTGACCCCCAAGCTGATGTTCTGAACCATGATCTTAATCTTCGGTATAATTTTTGTAGATATGCAAGTGCCACTAGAATAGATGGAAGTTTTAGTAAAGCAAGTGCCCTAGAGCAAGGCCCTTTGGAAGGGACTCAAATGGAAAGAAAGAGAAATGAATTCCTCTTGCAGCTCTACCATTTAAACTCAAGGCCTTGGTTCCCACCTCTGTATATTAAGGAGGTTGAGCCATTTCATCTCTAGGGTCTCTTTAACACTAAAACCCTAAATGTAAATAAAAAGTGGTATAAATTGTTTGGCCTCCCCTTATACTGTAATCAATTTAACCCTTCTCCTATCCCAAGAAACTAACTGGAGTAGTTTTTCACATGAATATGAGAAGCCTTTGCCTCTGGTCATAATTTAAATATTTATTTCCTTCCCTCTCAATTCAATAAGCACTAATTAGATGCCAACCATGAGCCAGGGTTTGCTTTATTTAAAATAAAAGGTAATGAAAAACTTAGAGGAAATGAAACAAGGATAAACAAGTAAGAAATTACATCATACCATCGCTACGTGCGAATTTGTAAAGACTTTAGGTATTTTTCATTGATTAAATAGCCGAACGGTTAACTCTGCTAACTTTCTCAGCATAGCAAAGGAAAACAAGGGTTATTCCCAATGACCCTGCTTTTGGGCAGAGTGTTAATGTTAAAAATTCATGTTGAATTTAAGATATAGAGACCACCATAATTTACACATTGTAAGCTAATTGGAATAAATAGTACAGAGTCACTGGATCAAGCTAAAAAAAGTCCAATTTCAGATAGAAGAAAAGGATATTAATTTGTGAAGAATTTTAGGAAGAGTGAGAAAGGAATCCTCTTATCAATTATCCTCAAGTGTTTACTATGTCCTAAGCATCATTTTAGAATCCACGATGATCCTCCCTGGTATTGTATTTATGATTATCCTGAATTATCTGCATTCAAAACTTTGATTGTTTATTTAAATAACTTGTTCAAGGTCACTCCAGTTGTGTCAGTGTTGAATTTATAAAGCAGATCGGTCTGGCTCTGAAATCTCACGGACTTGGTTATAGAGGTTCATAACTATTGATTTTATTTTATGGGCTTGAATGTCTATAGGTTAATCATTCATATGAAGCTGAAGTTCCATAAGAACAACAGATATTCTCTACTTTAATCACCACCCTTTGAAGGGTTCCTACTGGCCCCACTGTCTTTACAATTATGGAAATAAATATCCCGAAGGCCTCTTAAACTTCTTCTTAGCCTTTTATTTTTATGGTTCATAATAATTTATAAGACTGCATGGAATTGCAGTCGGCCCAAAGGCTTTGAAGATTTGTTCATGCTTTTGTGAAGACCTTACCATTTCATAATGGAAAATGAACCAAATTACTTGTTCATCACCGCCTTCACTTAAGTGCATGGTTGTTTTGTGTTGACTTTTTATCCAACAATTGTACTGCTGGTTTATTCTTGAATATCAAGCTGTAAGGCCATCTACACTCTTGTGTTGTCACATCATTATTTATTAGCCCATGTTCTCTTTGACCTAAAGTAATTAATGATGGTGGGTGAGCAGCTGTCACAGTTACAGCCTATCAACCAGCAGTGGGGTCAGGCCTACAGTGTTTACACTTGAGATAATGTAATTGATTTTGCTACCTCCTTACAGAATCATACTGCAAGATCATTATCTCTTTTGGTACCAAGTAGTGATGGTGCCCATGGAGCCATAACTACAGCTGTGTTTTGTTTCTATTTGCATCTGTATCTGGGAAGTAAAAAGGATTCTTTTTCCGCCTGGTGTTAAATACTAGAGTTCAGAAATCTTTGCAGGGAACATTTAATTACCTCTAGTTATTTAGTGGTAAAAATCAGAGGATTTTAGAGCTTTCTTCTGATCTTAATTTACAACATGATTGGCAAGACCATTAAAGGGAACAGATACTTTCCCTTCCAGATACTACATGCATAAACACTGCCTTCGCCAAAACACAAGAATAATAATATCAACTACAGCTATTACTGTTAAAGTAAATATTAACATTAGGTAATATTTGCTGAATATGTACTATATGCCAGGCACTATACAAAAAGATAAATTGCACGGTCTCATTGACTCCTCACAACAACCTTAGGAGCTGGGTCCTATTGTTACCCCCATTTTTAGGATGGGAAGTTTAGAGAGGGTAGGAAGCTTGTCCAGGGCCACATGGCTGGCAGTGATGGGGCTAGACCTAACACTGGCTGATTTGACTCCAAAATCCAGCTCCTTAACCTGCGAGGGGTAGAACCATGGGTGGCGGGAGGGATGAACACCAGGACAATTTTATTCCTTTATATACTTCTAGAATAAAACAATTCAAAGAGGAACAATAACCAAAAAACCCCTCAACTTTCACTTTGTAAGGATAACTGTGATTTACTTCTTGCTTCCCTTTCTAATGTAAGTTACAAAATTCTCCCATATTTTTTTCAGTATGTAATGTTTGCTTGCAAAGGGAAATAAATGAAATGGGATTTCTAAACCAAAAATCACATCATAATGTATGAATGTGAAATGAATTATAATTAGATCATTTACAACCAAACAGAATCATGGGGGTTTCTTATCTTCTCATTTTTCATTCTAAATAAATTAATTGGCAAATCTATACTATATAACCTCCCAAAACGTATTATACAGCAATGATTTGTACAGAACTGATTTGATGCTCCCTGAAATGCAAAAATCGTAAATGTGTTTTCAAGTACTAAACTCAATCTCTAGAGACATAGTAAGCCTTGCATAAATATTTTTTAAGTTTAGCTGACTTTGAATACAGTAAATGATATTATCATATTTTACATTCCAGATTATGTATTTTGAGAAAATAATATATCAAAAAAAAAAGAAAGAAAGAAAGAAAGAAAGAAAACCGCAACTCAATGATTATTTGGATCTTTGAACTTTTTAAAGAGAACATCAGTTCCACAAATATTACTGGAGGGCTGATTATGAAGCTCGGACAGATAACTAAATGTCAGTGATGCAGGAGACCGATCAGATGACCTAGGTTCATTCTTCCCTTATTATCAGT